GGAGAGGGAGAGGGAGAGGGAGAGGGAGAGGGAGGGAGGGGGTTGGTTCATTTGGCTGAGGCTGGGCTTGAACTCCTGATCCTCCTGCCTCTACTCCCTAAGGACAGGGATTACAGGTGATGGCCACCACGTCCAGCTAGCTGCAGTCCTCTTGCTTGGCTTCTCTTTCCAGGCTGCTCCGTAGTTGTGATGCTCCACAGCATTTAGATGCTTTGCCCAGGCCTCTTCCTTCTCCATCCCCCATCTCCTAAGTGATCTCATCCAGTCTCTTGGCTTTAAGTATTGTCTGTATGTGGCTGAACATGTATAATCCTGTAATCACAGCTACCCTGGAGACTGGAGCAGGAGGATTCAAAGTTCGAGGCCAGCCTGGTCTACAGAGTGAGTTCGAGGCTAGCATGAGTAACTTGGACTTGAGTGACTGAGTAAAGGGGTGGCAGGGAATACAACTCTGTGGTAGAGCACCTTCCCAGCATGCACAGGGCCCTGGATTCAATCCCCAGTGGGTGCCAAGGAAATATAATAAAAATAAATTATAACAAAAATAAATAGCAACAATTTCTGTTGGCTCCTAAATTTAAAAACCGGCACCTGTGCTGGGTGATGGTATTGCACACCTTTAATCCCAGCACTTGGGAGGCAGAGGCAGAGGCATCTCTGTGAGTTCGAGGCCAGCCTGGTCTACAGAGTGAGTTCCAGGACAGCCAGGGCTACACAGAGAAACCCTGTCTCGAAAAAAGAAGACCCAAACTGTCACCTCTGGCACCTGAACCTGTCCTTTGCTGTACACTTGACATCCTGATTATTTAATAGCCTGTCCAGCTTGGGTGACTAAGGCAGAACTCTTGATTTCAAAAAATTTGGTTCTCAGTTTTCCCATCTTACTCTGGCAGCATCAGTCAGTCATGTGCTCAGGCCACAATCTCAAGAGTCTAAGGATCATGCCACTGTACTTGACCAAGAGTCCTTTTTTTAATTTTAATCATTTATTTAACTTTATTTTATGTTCATTGGTGTGAAGGTATCAGATCCCCTGGAACTGGAGTCACAGACAGTTGTAAGATGCCATGTGGGTGCTATAAATTGAACCTGGGTCCGCCCCCCCCCAAAGAATAGCCAGTGCTCTTAACTGCTGAGCCATCTCTCCAGCCCCCCTCAAGAGTTCTTCTTGATACCTCCGCCTACCTCCACATCTGCTGAACCAGCAGTGATTTCCTTGTGGCTATCTTCAAATATAACTCATGCTAATGCTGCGCCCCCTCCAGCACCACATAATATGACCCAGGCTACCACATCTATTGCTGGTGCCTGTGGTTCTGATTCCACGCTTGCCTTCCCACTGTGTGGGAATGAGCTGGTAATTACCATTCCTACACAGTGACCACAGTGATCATTTAAACATATAAGTCAGATTGTATAATCCCTTGAAGTACATGCCTCCAATGGCTTCCATCACATCTATGACAAAATCCACTGCATGTTCTCCCAGGATACCTGCCTGCACCTACCGTTCCCACATTACCTCACCACCATCCTTCTCCCACTCTCTAGTCACAGGAGGGGCTGAGTCTCCAGACCTTGGCTATCCTGAGCTCTCATTTCTCCACAGCATGGCTGCCTGACTCATTGTCAAAACCTCTCCTCAAGATCTCCATGAGTAAACTGGGGTTAAGGGTGGGGATCAATGGAGGGTGGGGGGTGGGGGATGAGAACATAAGGGAATGGTATGGTCAAGCTGGAGCAGGGATGGAGTGGGGGAGCAGTGAGGGAGATACCATGATGGAGGGAGACATCATGGGGCTAGGGAGAAACCAGGTGCTAGGGAAGTTCCCAGGAATCCACAAGAATGACCCCAGCTTAGACTACTAGCAATAGTGGACAGGGTGCCTGAACTGGCTTACTTAGTAATCAGATCAGTGAACACCCTAACTGTCATCATAGAGCCTTCATCCAGTAACTGATGGAAGCAGATCCACAGCCAAGCACCAGGCAGAACTCCAGGAGTCCAGTCGAAGAGAGGGAAGAGGGATTCTATGAGCAAAGGACATCAAGATCATGATGGGGAAACCTACAGAGACAACTGAACCAAGCTAGTGGGAACTCATGAAATTTAGACCAACAGCTATGGAGCCTCCATGGAACTGGACTAGGCCCTCTGCATAAGCGAGACAGTTGTGTAGCTTGATCTGCTTAAGGGACCCCCTGGCAGTAGGATCAGGATCCATCCCTGGTGCATGAGCCCTCTACCTATGGTGGGACACCTTGCACAGCCTTGATGGGGTGGGGAGGGGCTTGGACCTGCCTCTACAAATGGACCAGGCTCTGCAGACTCCCCATTGGAGACCTTGCTTTGTTGAAGCAGGGAATGGGGGGTGGGTTGGGAGGAAGACGAGAGGAGGGAGGAGAGGGGGGGTTGTGATTGGTATATAAAATGAATTTTAAAATTCCTTAATTAAAAAAACAACCTCTCCTCAAAGGTCACAGAGCAGCCTTCTCCAGCTCCATCTAGAGCAGCTCTCCTTATTCATGTCTGCATATTCTCTATAGAGCGTTTCTCACACTCTCACTCGATGAATGACTTTGTTAATGTGTCATGTCGGTTTTTTGTGACTGACAAATACCTGAACAAAACAACTGTAATTATTTTTATTTTATGTGTATTAGTGTTTCTGTACATGTATGTATAGGCATGACCATGTTCATGCAGAGGCCAGACCAGGGTATTCAGTCCCCTGGAAGTGAAGTTGCATACAGTTGTGAGCCACCATGTGGGTGCTGGGACTTGAACCTGGGTCCTCTGGAAGAGCAGTCAGTGCTCTTAACTGCTGAACTATCTCTCCAGCCCTTACATAATATTGTATTATATTTGTGTGCTCACACCTGTGTTGTGGAATATTATTTTAAGTAAGCAAAGATGTGTTGCATTTGTTTATGCTGCATTTGTTCAATGATGTAAAGATGTGTTACATTTGTTGATGCTGCATTTGTTTAAGGGTGTAAAGATGTGTTGCGTTGCCTGCCTAAGGCACCTGACTGATCTAATAATAAAAAAAAAAAACTGAATGGCCAATAGCTAGGCAGGAGAGGGATAGGCAGGACTGGCAATCAGAGAGAATTAATAGGAGGAGAAGAGAATGAGGGAGAAAGAGAGGGAGATGCTGGGGCCAGCCGGCCAGGCAGCCACCAGACAGACAGACATGGAGGAAGCAGTGAAAGTAGGACATACAGAAGGAAAGAAAGGTAAAAAGCCCCGAGGCAAATGTGGATGAAGAGAAACAGATTAAATTAAGTTATAAGAGCTAGCAAGAAACAAGCCTAAGCTAAGGCCGGGCATTCATAACTACTAATAAGTCTCCGTGTCATGATTCAGGAGCTGGTTGGTGGCCCGAGAGAAGGCCTGTTACACACATGTACAGGGGTCGAGGACAGCTTGAAGCAGTCAGTGCTCTCCTTTCACAGTGTGGGTCCTGGGGATTGAATTTAGGTCATCAAGCTTGGCAGCAGCCATCTTTACCTGCCAAGTAATCCTGCCGGCTCTGAGTGAAACTGTTTAAAAGAGCAAAAGAGTTTTGTTTTAGTCAGCTGGTTCCATTATCTCTGGGGTAGTAACCCTAACCTCATGGTAGAAGGGCATGGTGGAACAGAACTGCTCGCCTATTGGCAGCTAGGAAGGAAGGGGAGGGGGAAGGCCAAAGGCAAGCTGCATCTTCCCAGGGCACACGCCCAGTGACCTCCTCTGCATCTAGCTCCCATGGCCTTCCTATCACCTCCCAATAATGCCATCGTCTTTTGAGTCCACCAGTGAAGTAATCCATTAGTTAGGTCAGAGCCCTTATAATATGATCATATATCAATGGATTCACCAACTGGGGACCAAACTTTCCAGTCAAAGCCATACAGGGTGGGGGTGGGACTCATCATATCCAAACCATAACAGTATTTAAATATTTTTAGTCTTAACTGTGCCCACTAGAGCAGACTTAACTTTGTTCCCAGCATATTTTCATCTGCCAAAGGCTATTCAATAATGGATATTTGATACATGTTTGTTTGTCAAGCAGCTTTTAAAACAGATGAAAAATATTTTCAAATTTCCTTTCACAAATTGAAATTCCAATTTAAAGCTTTTTTCACCATTTAATAGGAAATTTATTTCCTTTAGAAGCTGATTTGATCCAGTGAACAGTGGTGGTTTCCCAACTGCGTCTTTTCTTCTTAGAGCTTCTACTAATACACTGTGGAACAAGGAAGCACTATCCATGCTGACATGTGAACTGAAGGTGCGTGCTATCAGTCACTGTCGGCCAGGGCCACGGATGCTCTCTTCCCCTCAGTACCCATTCTAGGATAGTGTCTGCAGTGTGCTGGACTCACTGGTTTGCAGGGAATGGAACGTCCTTTCTTTCCACGGAGCACTTTTCCCATCTCCAGGATCCCAGCACTGTTCTAAATAGCCTCATGTCTCCTTAGGACATGGAGAGATCTGAAAGGCTCTGTTTATTTGGTTGGTTTTGAGACAGGTATCCCATTGTAGCCAAGGCTGCCCTGGAACTCTGTGTAGCCCAGACTGGCCTTGCACTTGAGGCAATCCTCCTGCCTTAGTCTCTCAAGTGCTGGGATTGCAGGCATGAACAAGCAACCTGGCTTCAAAGTCTTTTTCTGCATCCATCCAGGTGCGACTAGGGAGCTATGCTTAATTTCAAATTCCCTCTGAGTTCAAGCAGTCTCAGCTCTTGGGCTCCTGGAAGAAAAGAAGTTCTATTTCAGCAGCAAGAATACCATTCAGAGTGGAGAGCAGTCAGGTTGTCTCTAGTGTCGGCACTTATAAGTCTTAGTCTTGGATTTTCAGATCGGCTGGTACCCAGACTAGCAATCAGTGAGGTTGGTATTTAGGGAGAGACCCTGCCTCAAAAAATAAAAGGTAGAGATCAGTTGCAGAAACAGATTTGACTTCAGACTTAGGCTTCTACACACGTGCACACATGTGCACGTATACCCACACAGACACATGTACCTGGGTTTGGGGGTCCCTGCAGGTGTCATACAGCAAAGTGAACCAACCACATGAAGAGATAAGAATGAAAACTTGGTGCAAATTGACTTCATCAACCTGGATCAGACATTGGGAGTCTAATGCCAGGCAGTTAATTGTCAGCATATTTAAAACACAGTACAATTTGGGAAAATGTTTTCAGGCAACAATCAGTCCAATTCCAGGTGCACAATAAAGCTTAAGGTGTGACTACATAGAAACTATTTTACAAAGTACATATGACCATGAGGGTGGGTTCTATAGCTAAAGGACCTAGACTCCAGTGTGGTCCCTGACCAATAACATAGAGGGCAGCAGGCCATAAAGTACTTGTGATATCTACCCTAAAGATGGGTAATGGTTTAGGGAGGGAAGAGTGTGGGATAATTATTCTGGGTAATTAGGGTGAGGCCTGTCCCTTCAGACAGCAAAAAGGTCACCAGGTCATTAACAACCTCCACTCTCAGCTTTCTGGATGGAATGCGGGTGTTTGATTTTATCTTCTTCATTGAGAAGACACCTCTGTGTGATTAACATTCCTGGTTCTCTTAGCGCTTCTCTGTGAGTACAAGGACTTCCGTGCCCCCGACATCTCCTCCCTTCTAATTTTTTTAAAGAAAAAATGAGGCCAAGGCTGAATGCATTGCCTTTATAACTAGTCTAATTAGCACAGGCAAGCATGAGAGAATTATAAGAAGAGCTAATAACAGACTGAGGAAAGGCAAACACCGTCCTCCATTCATCCATGTCTTAATTTCTGTTAATATTTTTGCTGTGAGCAAAATGGGTGTAATACAGTCTATTCCACATAAACCTTTATAAACCTTAGTATGGCAAAACAATATCAAATGTCGCCTATCACAAGTGTGTCTTATCCCCCCTGACGAAAGGCATTTGGACTCTTCATTGACAAGAATTAACTTGTAATACAGTCATTAAACATAATAGCATCATTTTTGGGTTAGTCCTTGTTGTTTCCCCAAAGTCTCAGCTTGAGGAGTTAAAGTCCTGCTGTCTCCCCAATTTATCAGCTTACTCTCCCCCTTGGGACATCTCCTCTTGATGGGTTTGTCATCTGCCTTCAGATGTTTTCATTCGTCTGGTGGTCTCTGGATGTCCTGCTCAGATGTTTCATTTGTCTGGTGGTCTCTGGATGTCCTGGCAGGATGTTTCATTGTCTAGTGGTCTCTGGATGTCCTGGTTGGATGTTTCATTTGTCTGGTGGTCTCTGGATGTCCTAGGTGGATGTTTCATTTGTCTGGTGGTCTCTGGATGTCCTGGGTGGATGTTTCATTTGTCTGGTGGTCTCTGGATGTCCTGGGTGGATGTACCAGATCAAGAGCCATCTGGGACTTGTTCATTTTCTGAAAAGACCCAAGCATAACCTCACCTCAATGATAGAACATCAGGCTTTTTCTTTTTAGTTAGCATTTACTGTAGGTTGAGTCTTCTTTAGGACAAATGCTTTTGGGCAGCAGAAAAACCATTCCCTTAAAATAAAAAAAATAATAAATTTAAAGTTAGCATAGCTAAATAGTACAATAGTATGTGATGATTTAGGTGGGTGGAAATTCCACTTTTATTTATTTTTTAATTTACCAATTAGGTATCTGATGGTATCATTCCATAATAGTTTGGCCCTGTGCATAGAATGGTATTTCAGTAACATGATTAATATTAAAATATCTCAGATCATTTGCTAGCAAAAGCAGGAACATTATCATTCTTTAGTTGTAATGGGTCCTAGGAAGGAAATGTAGAAGGAGCTATTATTTTGCTGGAGTTTCCAGCACTGCTTTCCATGCCTGGGGCTGTGCTCTGTAGCTGGCTAGTTAGGGAGAGGCACTGTGCTTGCCTGTATTGTATTTTGTGCACAGATCTTTACATACCTGACCGCAGACACTGTCCAAGCCGTAGACAGCCATATTTTCAGACTCACACTGGTGCCCATTCACTGTTAATTATGCATTAGAAGCTTAGAATACTGTAAAAAAAAAATCCTGGTTCTCTTAGTGCTTCTCTGTGAGTACAAAGACCTCTGTGCCCCCAATACCTGGGTGCATGCACACACCCCACTAACAAGTACACACACCCTCCACACATACCTCTTTCTGAGTTCTCTGGCCTGTCCTTAATTTGAATTAAGGGATTTGAGTCTAATTCAATTTCTAACACAAATAAAGGGTCTCATTAGAGGGCAGTGGCCACAGTGCAGGATAGTTTGGCAACACATCGATGTTACAAAATCACAGAAATAAACAGATGCCTTTGAGTGTAGAGCCCCGACCCTTTTCAAACAAGTGTGTGTGTGTGTGTGTGTGTGTGTGTGTGTGTGTGTGTGATGTGTATGTGTATGTATGTGTGTGTGTGTGTGTGTGTGTGTGTGTGTGTGTGTGTGATGTGTATGTATATCATTGAAGAGTTTAAGGTATGTGTTAAACTTGTAACTTTTCTTCCACTTTGTCAGGTTCTGTAAAGGTTGAACAGGAGGGAGACCAGGAGCTGCAACAGAAAGGAGCCAGCTTCTCATGTGGCTGCAGTAGTCTGCAGGGCTGAAGGGTGTTACTTGGGTGTGGTCTTGCCTCCTCTGCCTGACTCGGCAATATCCCCCACCCCAGAGAATTTCATTCATACAGTTAGAGGTGTTGTCCGATCATTCATTTAGAATAAAGTATGGCCTATTGAGACGGCTCAGCAGGCGAAGGTATTGGTTGCCAAGCCAGAAAACCTGTGTTTATTCCACTCATATAGTAGTAGGAGAGAACTGACTCTGCAAGGTGTTTTCTGACATCTATGTGTACTGTGGCATGTGCACATACACATGAATAAATTAATAAATGTAGGCCGGGCAGTGGTGGTGAACGCCTTTAATCCCAGCACTCGTGAGGCAGAGGCAGGTGGATCTCTGTGAGTTCGAGGCCAGCCTGGTCTCCAAAGAGAGTTCCAGGAAAGGCTACACAGAGAAACCCTGTCTCGAAAAACAAACAAAAAAATTAATAAATGTATATAAAGTAATAAATACGCTGAAATCTGAAGCCCTTACCATGGCAGACAGGCATTGCATAGTCCACTATAGCAGGTCTTGGATTTCATCTGCCTTGCTCTCTGTCTTACACACACTCTTCCTTGCTCTACCCACTCCCTCCTCCCCAGCACATTGCCATCTCGGGACTTTCACATGTCACTAAAGTGTTCTTCCCTGAAGGGCGGCACAGGTGCTTTGTCTTTTAATATCATTCAGGCCTTGGCATGTTAAGTGCATATGTTCTAACCACAATAGCACCTCCTTTTCCTGGCATTGATCACACCTGCTGTGTGCGTGCGTGCGTGCGTGCGTGCGTGCGTGCGTGCGTGCGTGCGTGTGTGTGTGTGTGTGACTCTGTAATAGAATGTAAGCTCTCTATCTGTGGTGAGTTCATGTCTTTGGATCTCAGTAGTCACTTGGCATCTGGGGGTGTTCAAATGTGAAGTATCTAATAAGTATTTATCAGATGCCTAAATGAACAGACAACTGAGTGGTGCCTCATTTCCCACAGTTTATATTTGTGATGGCCCATCTTCCTTATAAACTTGCCTGGGTTTAGAATCACCTAGGAGACACACCTCTGGCCAGTCTGTGAGGGTGCTCTAGAGAGGTCACAACTTCTAAGTGTGAAGACCCACACTTAAAGCAGGTGGCCATCCTAAACCGAACAAGAATGGGGGAAGGGGGAAGTCAGCTGAGCACTGGCGCTCCGTCTCTGCTTTGTCCAGATGTTAGCATTCTCATGCTGTCACCCAGAGTCCTTCCCTGCTGGATGAGCTGTTCTCTTCAACCGGATTCATCCACAGTGGTTACAAGTCATATGTCCTTGTCCCCCCATTTCAGGGTCTCTAAAGTTTGAGGAAAAGACAAAAGGATTTTTTTTCTTTTTTGGTTTTGTTGGTTTTTTGTTTGTTTGTTTGTTTGTTTGTTTGTTTGTTTGTTTGAGACAGAATTAATCTGTGTAGCCCTGGCTGTCCTGGAACTCGCTCTGTAGACAAGGCTGGCCTCAAACTCACAGAGACCCTCCTGCTCCTGCTTCCTGAATACTGATATAAGCAGTTCCTGTGTCACACAAAGGAACACAAAGTGCAAATAGCTCAGCAGGAGGATTATTTTTGCAAAAAGTATGCAGCAAGATCCAAATTGAGCTAGCAAGCTCTTCGGGACAGGAAGTTCACTTTAAAAAAGTATGTCCATGAGTGTATTGCCTGCATGTTGCATGAATGCATGCAGTGCCTGCAGAGCACATAAGAGGGCGTCAGATCCCCTGGACATGTGGTGGTTAAAGCTGCCCAAGGGGCGCTGGGAACTGAACCTGTGTCACTCGGATGAGCAGCTAGTGTTCTTAACTGCTGAGCCATCTCTCCAGCCCCTTGGTTTTTGTACTGGGCCAGGTAGTAACTGCGTGTGTCTCCCATCAGCTGGGACCCAACCTCACAGTGTTTCAAGACTGGCTAGTTTTAAGAGGACTGGAGCGAAGGAAATTGAGGAAATGGGGAAGAGGTGGGTCACTTCAAAGTTCCAAGAATGTGTGTGTGTGTGTGTGTGTGTGTGTGTATGAACAAACATTTTGCTGCTGGAAGGAGATTTGCATAAAGATATCACAAGACGGAGATAAAAAGATGAGCATAAAATCTTTCAAGGTGAGAGAGAGAAAACAAAATTTGAATTTTTTGTCCTAAACAAAAAGTTTTAGAGTGTTTGACAGACTAATAGTTGCTGGGTGCCCCCTTTAATCAAAGCACTCAAGAGGCAGAAGGATATGGATCTCTGTGAGTTCAAGGCTAACCTGGTCTACATAGTGAGACCCTGTCTCCAAAACAAGACTAATACTTAATGTTTCTTACCCTGCTGAGATTAAAGCTATGTGCCACCGTGCTTAGCCTGGAAAAGACATTTTTATTAGAAGAGAGACAAAGAACATTTTCAACTGTCCTCCTGAAGATGGAGATGTGACACCCCTGGAACAGCACACCACTGAGTACTGAGTAAATAAATCCAGGTGGGTATAGAGATAGCCTTGAGTTGAGCTTGCCGAGGGTGGACCACACGGGGGTCTCTCGGTTGGAGCGCGGCTTGTTTGATCACCCCGGACATCAGGCTTGGATGACGCAATATGTGACCAGCCTGCAGAGATGGGGTCACAGAGGACAGGAGACCTCATCCCACTCAGGAGACCAGGTCTGACCGGTATGGTGGCCAGAGAGGAATAAGCCAGCACAAGCCTGGCCCAACAGACATCTCCATTCTCCTCCCTCCCCAGGCTCTCCCCACTGTCTTAAAGGTTAACTGGGAAGCACAGAGGCTATGAGTTTTACCCAGAAAGATCTGTATCTTGAAGTGGTAAGGCGGTATACAAACACAGGTAGCATATTTTCCTCTATGGTTTGGAGGAAGATAAACCACAGGGCAATAAAAACAAATAACACCAATGCAATCTTTAAGGAAAGCCATTTCTCAAGATTTTGGCTAAGGCATCTCACCTGTGTTAATCAGACTTTAAAATATATATTTTTTTAATTTAATGTGTATAGGTGTTTTGTCTGCATGTATGTCTGTACACCACATGTATGCCTGGTATCCACAGAGACTAGAAGAGGGCATTAGGATCTCCTGGAACTGGAAATTCAGACAGTTGTGAGCTGCTATGTGGTCCTGAGAATTGAAGCTGGGTCCTCTGGAAGAGCATCCAGGGCCATCTCTCCAGCCCCCAATCGTCAGTGTGACAAAAGATGAGAGAGATAACTCAATCAAGGGAACATTCACTTTAGCTCCTTCTTTTAGTTCATGGTTGGCTGACTCTGTTACTTTGAGCCTCAGGCAAGGCTTTTGAGTATCATGGTTGCAGGAGCATGATGGAGGCTGTTCATCTCATGGTAGCTGGGAAGCAGAGAGGAGGAGGAGGAGGAAGGGGTCAGACAAGATATACTCCCTCAGTGACTGCTTCCTCCAACCAGCCTCCAACTTTCACAGTCCCATGACCTCCAAGAAATCTAGTTAGGTTCTGGGTTCAAATATGGGTCAGTCCACTGGTGGAGGCAGGACTTGCATGATTGAATTCTTTCCCCCAAAGCCCCACCTCGGAACACTGCGTGCACCAGGACCTAGCGTTTGCTGTCTGGGGATACTTCACATCCAAAATATAGTAGCACCTCTGCCCGCACTGAGGCAGGTGATGAGACCCCTGCCAAGCAGTGCTGCTTTAACACATGTAGTCGGCCTTTTTTGTCCCAAACTATAGAAATGACAGAGACATCTGGCTGCCTGGACAGTCACCCAAGGTTCCTCTGTAACACTGGGGCATCATTATGGGCCTAGAATATCTGACAGACTTTTCTGTGAAGCAGGAAATTTTTGAAGGCCTGCCCTACCTTGTCATGGCAAAATTAAGCAGTTGCTTTTGTGTGTGTGTGTGTGTCCTGCTTGTCCAGTTTGGATAGCATACTGTGAGCAGTCAAGGCAAGGGCAGTTTCTTGCCCAAATGGCTAACTTTTGCCACAAAGAAAGCAAACTCCATATGGAGGTTCTTCAATGCCTATCATCCTTTTATGAAGTAGTTTGATGCTGCCAGGAGCAGATGTATCTCATCGTCATGAAAGGCCTTATGTTATTAAAACAGTTTAAATCCCAAATTCTGTAGGTCTTGGAAGTGTTTGAGGACCATCTATCTGTTTAAAATATATCTCTATTTGACCTTGAAAACATACCTAACACAACTATAAGTTTGATTGTTATAGAAGACTAACTACTAACCTATATTTCTTTACTATCCTAAATAGCTTTCAAGGACTAAAACTTTACATAACCTTTTAAAATGAGCTGCATCAGTACACTACCTTAAACAAGAGTAGGAACATATATTCAGTATAACAAAAATAACCTTAAATTTGTATTATTATATAAAAATCCATACCAATGTAAAATGTTTGAGACCATTTGGTTGTTCAAAAGTAGACTCAACAATCCACCCTTTTATCTCATCACTTCTATACTATATCCCCCCCTTTTCTCCTTTAGAATGAGATCCCTGAATCTAATCTCCGTTAGCTTTCTCCCTGACCGTGACCAATAATAACTTGTAACCAACCACCCTTAATGACGACAAACATCCATAATCCATCAAATGACCAAAACCCATCAACCCCACCTCTTGGGAATATGGGCACCATGTTCTCTAGACTGCTTCCTGTTGTCTGGGGGCAATGACATCTTTGAGGGACCCTGAGAAAATTAAAATAATATAAATTCCTGGGAGAGCTAGCTATTATCTAGTCTCAGTGTGCTAGGAAAATGTAGGGCTTATCTGAAGTTTGGCTGGAGTAGTCTGTGAGGCTGGACCATCTCAGCCATCATACTTGAAGCTGTTCTGGATGTAGAACTCTGAGGAAACTGCAACAGAGGCATTCTTAGAGACTGGATCACCTGAGCTACTTGTCTTTATTGGTGCCTGGTCCCCTTATTCTGAAAACACACAAAGTTTTAAAGGTAACATATATATCTTCATTAACACAAGTATGAAATGTGCAGTGTGCATAAATAGATTAAAGATGAGTCTGAGCAGGTAAAAGGTATCTGCAGACTTTATAAGTCCATTTGGACTGTATAACTAAACTGTAATATAAATCTCTGTCCATGTCATATGAAAAGATAGCATGTAATAAGTCATGATGGGCCAGGCATTAGTGGCGCATGCCTTTAATCCCAGCACTGAGGAAGCAGAGCCAGGCAGATCTCTGTGAGTTTGAGGCCAGCCTGGTCTACAGAGTGAGATCCAGGACAGGCACCAAAACTACACAGAGAAACCCTGTCTTGAAAAAGCAGAAGAAATTCATGAGAACTCTGTAGCCAACAAGATTGATCATGTCCCATCTCCTCTCTGAGCTGCTCCCATGCAGAGGGTCAGCTTACACATCACTTGTCCTGGAGTCTTTTTTGGCTTCCTCTCCAATGTCTGTAACCAAGATACTCAGGAGGTCTCCCCCAGTCCAATCTGATCTCTATTAACCTGGAAAGAATCCAGTCTTTCATTTCCTATGGAAACAAAAGTGTGACCTCTTCCCCAATGTAATAATTTTTTTACTTCCATTTTAAAGTTATGGTATCCCTAAAGTATATAGGTTGGTTTAATTCAGCAGTCCCTTCCACAGTCCAATGTCTCTCAGCAGCTGTTGTCTGTTCATTAGCATTCAAAAAGTTCAAAATTAACAAAGCATCATATAAAGTCCAAACTCCCTGTGTTATAATATTCCCCATCCTTACGTGGCTTATTCTTTTTATTATCATTATTATTTCTCTCTTTAAAGACTTTACTTATTATTTTTAAACTATTTTTATGACTATCTACGTACTTTTTTTTTCTTCAGTGTCTAAGCTTTTTTTAAAAAAAACATTGTAACCTGTTTAAAGATTTTTTTTTTCCATCTGAACCTGTTTTACTGTAACCTTTTCTGTCTGTATGAGCAAAACCTTAGACTGCCACACAGCTCATGGCATGCTGGCAGCTCAAATCAGCAGGCAGTGCCCAAGATACAAATATCTGTACCATGGTCAGCATGAGAGACTGTGGGACTAGGAAACCACGTTTGGCTCTGCTTTTGTGTGTTTGGAACCTTTTTTTATATAGCTTTTTTGGGTGTTAAATGGAAATACATACCCCCAAATTGGATGCCACTTGTAGTTGGCCTTTTTCACCAGGACTGCCTGCTCCCCGGTAATGACATGGAGACTTATTAATTATGAAAGCTCAGCTGAGAGTTTAGGCTTGTTTCTAACTAGCTCATAACTTAATCCATTTATATTAATTTCTTCCTGCCTCGTGGCTTCATTATCTCATCTCCGCAGTGCCCATCCTGCTTGCTCTGCATCTCCTGGCATCTCCCTCTTCTTCTTGCCAGCATCCTCTCTGCCCAGAAATCCTGTCTCCCTATTGGCCGTTCAGCTTTTTAATTAACCAATCAGAGTGACACATCTTCACAGTGTACAAAAAGATTATTCCACAACGGCAGATGAGCTACCCATCTACCTCTCAGGGCCACTGAAAGCCTGACAAGGAGCATTGCTGTCATTGAAAACATATTACAGACAGCATTAGAAAACTGTTTTCTCTGGGAATGATACATTATGATCAGGCAATAGGTGCTTTTGGGAAATGACAAAATACAGATCCAGGAAGGGATCATCATAGCACACTTTATCTAACCAGCGCCTGGGGTATTTCAAATTGTAAAGTTAGGCTGAAAATGTTTAAAATGGCCAACAAGATCCCAGCCTGAAACATGCCAGCAATGAATAGCCCACAGGTGAAGGATAGGGGAAGCATCTGCTGTTTTGATTTGAAGTCTGGCTGTGTCTCGCAGGCTGGTCCGGAACTTGTGGCCGTCTGGGGCTTGTCTCAGGTTGTGGACTGGATGTTTTGGTTTGGTTCCCCACAAACTCCTATGCTGGACTCTTAACTCCTAATTGATGGTTTTAGGAAGTGAAGCCTTGAGAGGTCATAAGGCTGGAGGGTGGAGGTCTGAGCAAATGGAATTAACATCCTTACAAAAAGAGACTCCAGAGGTTTTCTCCTTCTCCTCCTTCTCCTCCTTCTTCTCCTCCTCTTGCTATTTTTTTAAATTTTTACATTCCAACCAAAGTTTCCCCTCCCTACTCTCATCCCAGCCCCTCTCCCCACCCCCTCCCCACCCCACCCCTCCCCCTGTTTCTCTTCTGAAACCAGTGGGCCTCCCAGAAGGCCTAGGTCAGTCCCATGCAGGCTCCCTGGTTGTTGGTTCAGTTTAGGAGCCCAGGTTAGTTTATTTTTTTAATTACATTTTTTCATTTATTTTACATCCTGACCACAGCTTCCTCTCCCATCCTCCTTCCATTCCCCCCTCCTACTTCCCCTCTGTCCCCCTCCCCAACCCACCCCTCCTCGACCGACCTCTGTTCAGAAAGGGGCAGGCCTCCCATGGGTGCCAACAAAGCATGGCATATCAGGTTGAGGTAGGACTAAGCTCCTCCTCTTGTATTAAGACTGGGCAAGGCAGCTCATTACAAGGAATGGGTTCCTAAAAAGCCAGCCAAAGTGTTAGGGACAGGCCTCTCTTCCACTGCCAGGAGTCCCGCAAGCAGACCAAGTCATACAACCATCACACATATGCAGAGGCAGGTGCTGTGCAGGCTCCCTAACCATCGGTGCATAGTCTGTGAGCTCCCATGAGCACGCCAGTTGCTTCTGTGAAAAAAACAAAAAAACAAACAACAACAACAACAACAAAAAAAAAACCAAAAAAACCAAAAAAAAAAAAAAAAAAAAAAAAAACCCACAACAGTGGCAGCGACTTTTGTAAGGAGGCTTTGACCACAGGCTCCTGGAAACTCCTCCCTCAAGCAAAGTTGTCCTCCAAACTCCATGTGATGGGCCACAGCTTCCTTCTATAAAGTGTCCATTTTGTGCAGGGCATCTGAGCAGGTACTTCTTGACCTCACAGTGGCCCTGGCCCCAGCAACTGCACAGAGAAACGCCTGTATTGTTAACCCTTTTGTGATGCCCCGTTCGCTCGGCAGGCTCTGGTTCCTTGTTTGATGTTGGGAAGGAAAACCACATGGTTCCTACACTGGCCAAGTGTACCCAGGAGCCAGCAGTGTGATCTCTTTAAAAAGCCGCCCCGGTTCATGAGATTCCTCTGCTCCACCGGCTCTTGGTGCTTCCTGGATAATCCATGTAGGCCCTAGGAGAGCATGGCTCTGCTCGCTGAGCTCTGCCCAGCGGGCTCCAAGCTTTGGACATCCATTCGGCGGCTGGCTAGCCATCCTCTGTACCTGCTGTACAGGTAGAAGCTCCCTTTTCTGGGAAACCAAGTAGATGCAATTCCCCTGGCTGACCCCAGAAACAATCCTACCCAGGCTTCCAAAGGCAGCTTCTGAGAATGGAAATCACCTGAACTTTCCTTCCGTGCCTTGGCTGGCTTCAGTGGAGGCAGGAGGAAGCTTGCTTAAAGCTGGCGGCCCACGCACTGCACGGGCTGGCGAGCCACTGGGCGGCGCCTCTCCTAGTGGTCATGGCAGGGACTCCAGGGCTCTGGGCTTTTTGTGACAGAGCATCGGGTGACGGGCGGACTCTCCGGCGGCCAGGGCAAGCGGGCGCCGTGCGCTGCGGGCCGCTGCAGACAGGGGGCGGCCGCGCCCACTTCCTCCGCCGCTCCGCACCCGCCGGCGGCGCACCCGGGTGGCAGCGCTGCGCGCCCAGGACCTATCCGGCTGCCGCGAGGCGGCCCTCCGCGCGCTCGGATCCCACCGCGCGCTTTGCGACCCGGCTACGGAGCGTTCGGCTGCCCGCATGGACGCGGCGCTGAAACGGAGCCGCTCTGAGGAGCCGCCGGAGCTCCCGCTGCCCGCTCGGGAAGTGGAGGAGAAAGAGGAGGAGGAAGAAGAGAGGATGGAGCAGGGCCTGGAGGAGGAGGAGGAGGAGGTGGACCCCCGGATCCAGGTAGGACGCGTGAGAGGAGCCCACAGCCCCACCCCGCCAGGACTGCCGTGGAAGTCAGCGTCTACGCGGACACACGCCTTGCAGCCCCGCGTGTCCGCGGTCGCGGGTGGAGGCCGCTTAGGTCCAGGAACTGCACCAAGGCTTAGGGCACCCCATTTCACGGTCTCCCCGCGGGAGGCTGCGGTGCCTGCGTGGACGCGGCCTGACTATTGTGGGGATCCCTGCAGACCTTCGGCCCAACCGGAGGGTCCTTGCAACACAACCAGCGGTTCAGGCGGATTGCAACAAAGGGAAAAGGGGGCGGGGGCCCCCGAGGGGAGTCGGGGTACCTTGGCGCAGCTCTCGATGCCCTGAGCACGGCACAGCCTCCAGGTTTCGGAACAGCTTTACCTCGGCCGCGTGGATGCGGACACCGTGGGGGGCGAGTGGGGCCGCGTGGTTGTCTCCTGTCTCTGCGGCGTGGGTTGCACCAGTGCCCGGCGCCGCGCTAGCCCTCACCTGGCGGAGATGCCTGGCCTCAGCCGCCCTCCTCTTTTGGTTCATTGTCAACACACGGAGGGCTTCCTTGCCACCGTGTTGCACTTGGCCTGAAATTGATTAAAACCCTGCTTTTCCTTGAGGTCGGGTGTGAACACCTACTAGGGACAGCTGGTGTGCAAAGCAGACGCGTGGAAGCAGAGAAGGGAATGGCCTGGCTTTCTGTGCCTCCATTTCCAGGAGAAATGGTTAAAAAACAATTTCCAAGCGAGATCCAGGAGTGACAGCTTAACCTCCTCACCCTCCGAAGCATGAAGCACAGCAAATTCCTTTCCATGACCTGTTTTTATCCCTTTCCATAAATCTTTTTTTTTTAAATTGCTATTAAGCATGTTCTGCAATGTCTGGATCAGTAATTGATTTTAACTGCACAGGAAAAAAACCACGTTATTAATTCAGTGGTTACATTTTAAATTAATTGTTTTGTCAAATTAACACGTTAAAGATTAGTGAGAAAACCTTCTCATTAGCTACTCTGTTAATTCAGACCATGGGTTTGGACTACGAATCTTGTGGTTTCGGCGTGTGTTAGCAAGACCCTTTGTTCACAGAGTAGAGATGAATTAACTTCATGTTGACTACTTCTTACAAAATGTCAGGTTGTAAATGTTTAAAGAGAGCAGGATTCAAGCTAGTTAACCAACAACATCCCCTGTCAGGGAGAGTGAATAATGGGCAGCTAGGGGGGAAATTCATCTCTTCATAGAGAAAGACTCTCTGATGGGTTAAAACCAGCTAGAAGTCTGTCTTTAGCTTGCCTGGCTCACTGGGTTTATGATTTGGCTTGGCCTTCCGCAAAGTTCTCTAAAGCCCAGGGTGCTGTTTTGACTGGGTTACTTACTGTTTGTAACAGCTGCGTTCACCTGGGGGGAAAATGACCTTCCAGGGAAAGACAGATCCTTAGGACCTTAAGATGTTGTCCAAAAGGACATGTCAAAAGGTTTTAGAAATGCCAAATGCTTTGTCCTTTAGCAAGCCTCTACTGTTTTCTTTAAGATCGAACTGACTTTCATCATTCAGGGGTGATTTTCCAGTTCTAGACTAAGTTACGCTAGAAACAAAAGGCGTGTCCTTCAAATCTCTCTCTCTCTCTTTTCATTAGGGAGAACTGGAGAAATTAAATCAATCCACAGATGACATCAACAGACAGGAGACGGAACTTGAGGTACGGAGAGCTGGAACACTGTCCTGGGTGAAATAGTGTCCGTCACCTTTGACCCTGGGCTGGTTAATTTTGTTTCAATAGCTGGAGCTTGGCTGCAGGAGGCCCCTGCTTGAGCGCCGAGCAACAGCGTGTGTCTGACAGTGAAATACACCCGCGTCCAGGCTGTGGGCGGATGCATGTGGATCCAATTTCATGTGTTGTTTTTCATTATGGAGACTCCATTGGGGCCAAAATCAAGGGCTGGGCAGAGTATTAGACAATGCTCATGCCCCAGATATCCCCGTATCTTTGGAAAAGCTGAAAGAACTGCGATTTAGCTGAACCCTTTAACGGAGAAGAGTAAATGGGGTCACATCTCTTCACTGCTTTATTTAGGGTGGCCCCTAACAGTGCTCGGAACTGTTAAGGATTCCTCAGACTTAAGCCAGGCACTTTACCTTCCCATACTAATCATTCGGAACTCTTTGGACTTCCCAGCTTCACTTATTTATTGTCTGCTTGTGTAGAATATAATTATCTTAATGGTAACAAAAAGCTGTTTGGCTTGGCAACAGCTTTCCTGCTGGGGAAAAAATCTTGGGAGATAAAATCTTGATTTGAATTTGAGGACTTTCCAACTTTCCTGTAAACAAGTTAGGGTTCTTCGAAGCTACCAATTTCTAGTAGTGGTTGGCGTTACTAGCCAAAGTGAGTGACTGTGGGGACCAAGGGACTGCCAAGAACTGTTGTGAGAACGAACCTGTTTCTACAGTAGAAACAGCAGGAAGTGTGTAAGGAGGAAGCGGGGAACACCAGGCCCCTCAGAGTGAGGGTGTGGGGGATAAGAACATCCTTGGCTGGAAGTTACGGGCAGCCTGCTCTCTGATAGCATGTAGCCTTGGAGACAACAGACACATACGTGGCGGTGTGTGCTAAAGTTGCTCTAGGCTGTGCGAAGGCGCATCTGTCAACTAATTCCCATGCTGATCTATGTAAGGAATTTGCGAACTTGGTGAAGTTGGGCAATTGAAAACTCAAAAATCTCAGATTTCTAAAGCATTAAATAAACAAACAAAATGTCCTTACCATTTTGAGAGGGCAATAACACAAGCCAGAGGTTTTCCCTAAGCTTTCATTTGGTCCTGTTACAACAGCCCAGAGGAAAACACACACACACACACACACACACACACACACACACACACACACACACAAACATTCTCATGTATTCTTGGCTAATTTCAAAATTCCGTATATAGTGGAGGATGGCTTTGAACTCTGGGTTATTCACCCTTCATCTCTAGGTACTGGGGTTACAGGCCTGCACCAATATACCCACTATTCTGAATCTTTAATTTCTATATCCCAAATGTACCTAAACAAGGTGGGAAGAATTTTGTGTTTTGTTTTGAGCAAAAGTTTTGGCTTGTTTAGCATCAGAATGAAGTTCAGGGCCTTATGCATGTTAGATAAGCATTCTACCAGATGGACTTGTGAGACCAGGGATGAACAGAAATCAGGAAGAGCTGGCTAGGCATAGCACACATTTCTGCAATCCCAGCACCTGGGAGGCAGAGGCAAGGAGAAGCAGGAGTTAAAGGTCATATAGCCACAAGCAAGTTTGAGGCACATGAGACCCTGTCTCATAAAAGAAGGAAGGAAGGAAGGAAGGAAGGAAGGAAGGAAGGAAGGAAGGAAGGAAGGAAGGAAGGAAGGAAGGAAGGAAGGAAGGAAGAAAGAAAAGTAATCAGGGACCACTGAGGCAGAGGCGGAAAGCTGGAGATGGCAAGGGGTGGTCTGGCGTTCTGTTTCAGTTTCAGAGAGAGAGAGAGAGAAGCCTAGTTTGCCTGTTCCTTTTGCTTTCTTAGCCACTGCTGGTCACCATTCTAGGTAATGCACAAGATTGCCCCATAGCCCCATAACTCACTCTCCATGGCACCTGCCTTATGAGGGTTAGGCTGGTTCATTTGTTAAACTCTTTTTAGTCCTCATTTCTGAATTCCCCAGATTTGGTGTGTCACAGGAAGCCACTGGACAGGTGTTTCCTGCCAGGCTCTGGGGCACATTGGAGCCCTGGTGTGTTAAGGACAGAGCTTACAGAATCAATCTCTTTATATATAGAAAGGATGTTTATTAGAATGGCTTAAAGATTGTGGTCCAGCTATTCCAACGGTGGCTGTCTAGTAATGGAAGGTTCAAGAATCCAGTAGTTAATTACTCAGTCCACCAAGCTGGATGTCTCAGCTGATCTTCAGCATATGCCGGAATCCTGAACAAGTAGACTCTAATGCCACTGAAGGAATGGACTTGACATGTGAGCGAGGGCAAGCAGGCAAAGAGCTTCCTTCTTCCACATCCTTTATATAGGCTGCCAGCAGAAGGTGTGACCCAGATTAAAAGTGGATTTTCCCACCTCAAAACACCAGGATTAAAAGTGTGTCTTCCCACTTTACACGATGTAATTTAGAAAAAAAAAATCCGTCTCAAGTGTGCCCAGCTGCTTGGGTTTTAGTTAATTCCAGATGTAGTCAGTTGACAACCAAGAATTCATACCTGAGTGGTGTGAGCTGGAGGGTTTGAAGAGGGTTAGCCTGGCTGGGTTGTGTTGCTGGATGGCCTTCCCTGGTGTAGTTACAACCAGGACAAACTCAAAGAAGTGTTATATAAACCACAGAAGCAATTAAAAAGCTCCCTAGTTGCTACATTAAAAACTACAAAAGACAGCCTGGCAGTGGTAGCACATGCCTTTAATCCCAACACTGGGAAGGCAGAGGGAGGCAATCTCTGAGTTCAAGGCCAGCCTGGTCTTCAGAGAGTTCCAGGGCAGCCAGGACTACACAGATAAGCCCTGTCTCAAACAGCAGCAGCATCAACAACAAAAAATTA